CAGCGTCCGCAGCGGCGGTGTTCACTTACAACCCGTTTCACCTCTCGCCGTGTTGCGCGGTCCCTCGCCGGTCGAGAGAGCCCTGGATTCCACCGAAATCGAGACGGCGGAACAGCGGTCTTACTGTTGAGCTCTTGATACAAGCGGGGCCCACGTGTCAATTCCCTCTTGACGCAAAAGCCATCCTTCCGGAGGTTGAGGCTCTCCTTTCGGTGTATTTGTTCGTTTCTTCTGTTACATTGGTTTTCCGTCAAGCGGATCCAGCTATCATGCTATTTTTGCTCCTGTGGAAACATTATGAACAAGAGACTAACCCAAGAAAGTTTTTTCTTTGGGGGGGCTGTGTTCAACTTTCCACCTTCGATTCTCCGTTCTATTGCCCTTATGATTTAAGTACGACTTGTGATCTGTCAACTTCTATGCCAAAATCGAATTAGTTCCTCAGAAATGGCGCAGGAAGCCTCAATTTTCGGAACGGCCACGACCATTTGAAAATACGATTCTTGTGAGAACACTAATCCATTGATCGTTTTCTTAACTCTTCAGTATCATCTCCTCTTGGCTATTTTACATTTCTCTGCTCCATAGGCCTATCTTTCGCTTTGATAGAAAGTTTTGCAACTTAGTGAATGAAAGTCATCGGGTAAGCGCGGTTACGGGTACCGGTTACCTCTACTTCGATCGAATCTTTCACGAGTCTGTCGAACTTTTAAAAAGTATTAAGCGCACCATGCGAGTTAGTAGGGTACCATACAATCTAAATGATCTTCTTTGAGATAACGCCTAGAGTCCCAGCACCCTTGGGTCCCTCTAAAAAGAGCCATCGTCACCCCTTTTTTATTCTTTTCTTTCCATTTTAAATCCGAAAGCACATAGACTTCAATAAAATGCACCGGCCATCAAATGCACACTGAAAGCACTCCACGCGGCTCTAAGTCAACACAAGAATATATCGAGGGCCGGATATTTGGCCATCATCCGCGCAATGCGTGGCCCCAGGTGATATCTCGGGATAAAAATATCTCCGCGAAAACACTCCACAGTCCTCTCTTCGTTTCCCCTCTTCCTTCTTATAATTGAGATTGACCGGCGATGGAGAGGACGAAAAAAGGAAAGACGGGAATACAAAGGATTTCTGGGAGATGTGTTTTCTTGCTTGATCGAACACGTCTATACCGGACGGGATTGATTTCTTCAAAGTGGTGCATCGCATGCTGAAATCGGGTCCCTTTTCAAGCGCCTGAATTCCAAGCCCCTTCCAGTTGGTGGCGTATGCACAAGGTTGCACTTTCCATGGCTTGTGCAGTGGGGTTCATCCAAACAGTTCTCGGCGTTATCTATGAAAATACCATTTTTCACAGCCACACGATCCGAGCCTTTTCAGAGAGTAAATGGATATTTTGGAACTGTGGCTGGGGCAAAAATGCCTATGCTCCGGGTAAACAGAAAGTTCTTTGTCTCGGAAGCCTGGAATTCGATTCCGACCTGCAGTGTGTTGTAACTGATGGTCCTTTGTGTCCGAACGGTGCACGAATGGTTCATTGTCACGCTAGATGATTATGCCTCCCGAATTTGATCTTTCTTTTATCCCAAACAAATTGTATTCACTCAGGCACGAGCCGTCGGGGAATATTAATTCTAGAGTCCCGATTCTTTAATCAATAAAAAAATGTGGGTGAGTCGAAAAAGAAATCGTCAAAATGAATTAGCTGAGAAATCTAATCAGTAATTAGTTGGAAATTTGTTTGTTATTCGGTTGTTGTTGTTGTTGTTGTTGTTTTTTCTCTTTTCTTAGCTGCTCGTGTGGGCCGCACATCGTTCGTCTGCTTACTGTTTTGCTCAACCTTCAAGTCTCTCAGAAGGGGGCGTGGCAATGGCCTCTCGGCTGTTCCACAGAAATCCTCACATTGCGAAGGTCCCGACCGATCTTGCATTTTAAAATCAGGCCGACTTCGGGTAACGTTGGGTGATTACAGCAATGGAGCATAATGACATTATCAAAGTCGGGAACAGTAATTAAACATGCGAATGCCGGCCGTGTCTGGCTCTGCCAAAAGTTAATTACAACACTATGATTTATTAATGCATCAAAGACGGCATTTCGTGACTTTGTGCACATTATCTTAATTGTCTCCTTGAAGTTGTGATGTGGAGCGGACTCCGTAACGTCAAACATATATGGTTAGCAGATGGTACTGATTGGAATTGATATTAAAGGCAGACCACGTGCACTGCGGTTTGTAAACAGCCTTTTTTTCGTGGATACGAGATTTTTTGGGGGGAGGGGTCGTCAAAATTACACCTCTTAATGGAATAAAACTGTCTTAGTTTCCCACCTGTATTATCTCTGAACGTCCTGCACAGCTCTGTCAGACGTTACGAGGTGGGTCGGGGGCGTGGTCCGCATGGACATGATCGTACTGCTGCGATAAAGCGCCTTGAAAAACTGTAAAGCTTCTCTGTCGCTGGCGAGGCAAGTACTAATGCGTTCCCCATTAGGCATCTTTGGATTTTAGCCTGTGCTTAACTAGGCAACCCTCAGTTCCCGACAGAATTCTCCGCGACTCCGTGCCACTCTCATTCCATATCCCCCACTCCCTTGCTTTAAAGCTCATGTTCTCAACACTTGTGCATCCTCTCTCAAGTAGAAGATGATCTGTCTGAACCGTCGAAGGCCGCCACTCAAGATGCCTCTGATTTCCTCCAAGCTTGCTCCTAGTACTATGTGCTGGGAGCCTCCACATTAGAGGGTACTCATGCCAGGTGCAAGCGCGCTCACATGTGATTGACGGGTGATGACAGGGTGCCCTGGGTGGCCGAAGCACCTCTCCTGACTTAGCTCATTAAGGGTACAGTCACTCAGACGGATGAAAACTGGGGGTGACGGTGGTACATGATACGGAGGGGACAAGACAGAGTCTAAAGAAGATCTCGGAGAACATTACGAGGAGTTGTTGTGTTAATGTTGGTACGGTTCCCAAGCTAGGGTAATACGGCTTGTTGGGTGTAGCTAAGGAGATTAAATTATGTAAGGAAAAGTTCAGACAATAAGACACACAGAATGTGTTCGTGCATTCATCTGTATTAAATTTGGCAAAATTTCATCAAGAATTTCAGAGACGATCGTGAACTACATTGCAAAATACATCTTTAAAAAACCTACATTGCAGTCTCTCCGAGTTTTAGTTAAATAATGAAGTTGATTTTGAGCTACATGTATTGTGTTATAAAAATGAATATAACTTTCAAGACAAGACATGCATGGATAGAAAGAATGCGAAGAAGCCGCTGACAATCTAGACTGACACGGTGGAGTAAGCCATTTGCCTCAGTCCCTGCTCTGTGCAGACTGACTGATAAAGGAAATAACAACCGTCACGGCTATGAAATGATCGAATGCAAGACAAGCCGAGTCATCCAAAGCACCTTCAGCAGTCCAATAATATCACCACACAGATACCAATCAACTGAAGCGCCCAGAGGGCGTACGTGTGCACCTGACCCCCCTTCCGAGAACTCGTAAATTCTTGCGCTCCTGAAGGGATATAGGCTTCAAGGGGGGTGGATTTGTGCCCAATTCTCAAACTGTTATTATCCTCGCGTATCCTGTCATCTCAAAAAGTTCAATCCGGGGACACAATGTTTACAAAGACAAAATATTTAGAATGTATATTTTAATATCAAATACATACACCGTGCAGGAACAGCCAAAGCCCCCATATTTTATTTAGTCTTTTCTTCGACGGAACTTCTTTACTCTCGAATTAAAAGCTTACAGGAAAACCCTGGGGCATGTGAGCGTTCGCGCAAAATAAAATTTCATTTCAGTCACTGACAATCACGCATGCGGCAACCGTGCGTCCGAACAGTGAGTGATCGACACGCTGTTACCAGCTGTTTCTCTCAGTCGTTAGACTCCAACTCCAGACGCCTTCCTGAATGGCGGATGTGAAGTCTGCGCGAGGGCGCTATTTCATATTTTGGCAAAAGCTCTCTGTGGCCCTGACGGACTCGGCAGATAGAATGCACCTACAGTACATGTACAAGAACAAGTCATTGACTTGTATCATATTTATACGAACTCACATGATGAAGACCACAGTGCTACTGCTCATCTACGTTAACGGTGCATCTTCAGCCTGGGTGCACACTTACACATTACCAAGTACATGTCCGAGAGAGGCATAATGTGAGCCAACACGAAACATCCAATTTTAAGGTCATTTCCAGCAGTTGCTTTGCCCACTTCGCATGGTAGAGTTTAGAATTTGAAAGCGAGGTTGCACTTCATGATTTTGGGCATTTGAAGGGTCCTGATGACTTACAAGCTTAGCAACTTATATCGTAACCATGCAAAAGAGTCTGGCTAGACTTCTAATCACCAAATAACTTACCAAATACTAGACAACATTTTTATTAATAGTTTCTAATTTATTTTCAATTTTTATCTATGGAATGAACATGCTTAGTAAAAAAGGTGATTACATAGACAACTGTTGTAAACATAATTATTAACAATGTACAAATGCCTGTGAATTCTTTGGAAGATTTCAAGCACCTGTGTCAAAACCTTCATTTCCTGACTAATATAATACGATAACTATGGGTTGAAGGGAGGGAGGGGTGGGGCTTGGGCTGTTCAGAGAGGGTGGATGGGCATTTAGACGTATAGGTCATGTAGCATGGGTTAAAGCAGAACAAAAAAACACCACCACCAAAGACTAATTCATAAACCTATCTATTTCCCTGGTTACGAGTGAAGCTTTGATCAAAAACATCAGCCACACAAGACCTGATCAACTTTAACCCCCACGGACACCAGAATTTTCCCAATTTTTTCCACCATACACCTCTGCCCTCTGTGGGCCGTGGGCCCCGCTGGCTCCCCAGGAAAGTGGCAATGTAGACAAAGTATGACATCATCAGTGCACAGGCCTATTCCTATGGTGTTTGTCTCCATCTTAATAAAAAAAAAAGAAGAGAAAGAAAGACCCTGTCTACACTGGCAGTCAGTGAAAAAGCACCAGAACATGACTCTGAAAATTGACCTGTGTACTTTGGAAAAGTATCCACTCTCCCGCTTCTCAAAATGGATTAACCAGCCACTAGGCATTTTATTACCCTCACGCATCAGTGATCAGCTTTCTCTGGCATTGGTCCAGAGTCAGGTCATGTTACCATGGCGCCAGTGGGTAGACACTTAACGAAATGCAGAAACCACTCGTGTGGTTTCATCGACTGTCGGTGGAAATCCCAGATGCACAGGCAAAGACGACTCCAACTTCCATAAAGTGACTGCTACGACGGATAAAGTGCAGTAGGATTACTTAATGTCATGACCCTGCACCATCAACCATTCAAAGTCTAGTTTCAACACATAACGGGTATGAACTGGGAATTCAGAGAAACAAAAGGAAAATCCAAACCACCCACTGCTTTATGCCAAGTTCTTAATATTTGAAAGGGACACATTAGACGTTAAAACTTAGGAAATCAGGAGGTCTAACGAAAAGTTACATGCCTGACACATTTTAAAATAGAAATGGTGATTACATGTAGAAAGACAATTACAGGTTACAATTACAAGTAGTCAAGTTACCCTGTAGGAGTCAACTGAAGGCTCCAAGGACAACCATCTTGGCTGCAAAATTCTACAAATCATATATTATTACAATTTCCTTTCAAACTCTTTTGCTCTTGTTCTGCTGTGGGAGCATCTTTACTTTGTCTTACGTGCCTTTTGTGGCAATGTTTTGTGATAAAGAAAATAAGGTACATGCCATTCCAGAAGGTTGGGGAAAAAAACTTCATCGACTCTGCGCGATGGAATCTAAACCTATACCCAAGTACATTCCCAGGGTCAAATACCTAAACATCTGTACATGTGCACGGAGTAGATTCCCACTGTCTATGTATCAGCAGATCTCCCAGCATGCACTGCGTCTGTGCCAGCAGACTAACCCATTCAGTTCCTGAGATCATCTACGTGTTGCCTTCGCAGAACACATACTGCGAGTTCTCCTTCTTGGCGTCTCTGCCGGGCTCGGCGCTCGGCCCGTTCCACTGGCTCTGTAGCTTGCGGTTGATCTCGGCGAGGCCCACCATGTACACAAAGGCGTTCTCAGCGGACATGTTTGAATAGACGTCTTCCTCTTTACTGTCTTTGGTCTCTGCATGAATGAAAAAAAACCAGCCAACACTTACGTCAAATGAAATAAGAGCTAATTTGCTTGACTTTACTCGTTGCTATATTACTCCCTCCAATTCAATTTCTTTTGCATGAAAGTAGTCCATTAACACGAAAGGGAAAAAAAGGAAATCAGAACTCCAAAGAGTAAGTCTACAGCAACGATTTGGAGCTTACTGTCTGAGGAGGCAGAATTAGCTTTAAATTAGGGACGCAATAAAAAGAAACTCCTTGCATGACTAGGCATTAGCTGATTATCATATTTCTTACTTATTAGCAAAACTTCTGTTACAACCTTTGCTTCAGGCAAGACAGTGTCGTGGGCAGACAATGTTCAGAGTTAAAATTAGGTCTCACAGAACTTTAAAAAAAATCTCATCTGAAATAGTTCAGATCAATACAAAAACAAAGAATAAAACTGCCTTGTTTGGTTGATTTTGTTTTAAAGTTTTTTTGGTGTGTGAGAAATAGTGTAGTCTTTTTAAATTTCAGTTTCACGATTTAAATGGACTGTGGAAAATAAGTCAGTAGAAGCAAAACCAAATCAGAAGCCTCTTTAGGCTTCAAGATTAAATGATACATATCTCCATTATACAACATTATGCAAAGTGCCCCTTCAACTGTTAAAAATGTCTTTCTACAGAAAAAAAAAAGATTGCGTAGCGATATGTCAACTGACCTGTACTTGACCCTTCCCCTTTGACCTTTGTCTTAGCAGTCTTGTTGAGGGTACTGCCTTTCTTCCTGGGCCTTCCTCTGTGTTTCTTCTTGGGACTCTTGGGAGGAGTATTGCCACTTCGCTCTGACTTGTTGGACAACTGAAAACCAACCATGTAAAGGAAAATTCATTCAAATGTCATAAACACCAGCGGTTGAACACCACTTTTTTGATTCTGTTCTCTCTTGCCAAAATCCCCCTAAAACCAACAATTGTTCCTTTTTGAATAAGCTGGCACTCTTGACATTTTAGAATTGTAATGGTATTTTCTGCTTAACAATATGCTGATAATTTTCAAACATGGTGGAAGAAATGTTAGCTTCATGGTGTCTATAAGCGTGCGGCTTTTGATTTGTGTGAAATTTGCGACCTGAAATTTTTATTTTGTCATTTATCCCTAAACTGCATACACGTAACAGCAAATTGTTGAAAGTTGATGAATAAAGTGAGTGTGAAAAACATGGAATGCTACATTCAAAGCTCCACATTATTGGGAAGTTAACTTTGGAATCTTTCCTCAATCACATCAGAGTAAAAAGACTGGAACACTGAATGTTTACCTACCAGAGCTTTTAAAAGCTGTTTCCTTAAAAAACAAGTATCACTGCTGTCCAAAGAGAACACTCCGTTGCAGTCAGCTACTTTAAAATTCTTACCCGCCTGAGGTGTGTTTCAAACTCGCTGGCACTGTAATAGTCTGGTCTCTCTCTCTTCACCCGACCCGTCCGTCGGTTTTTATTATTTTGATCTAGGGGACAAGACATGGCAGTCTTCATTACTCAAGAACATTTGTCCCAGCTTTAAAAAAGTTCACCAGTTCCAGAACCATACTTCAAAAAAATTGGTGATAAAGTGGCAGGCATGAAATTGTTTTGCATCTAATTCAATTGGAACTGTGGGCATCATCTTAACACCCACGACGGAAGCAATTTAACATCAATTACATTGGCATGACATACGACCACAAGTCTCCCTTTAAAGCTGGGCCAACTGTTTCAGTTGGGCTTTCCTCTGTCTCTTATTTCTCCTCACAATCTATCTTTTTTTTTTACCTAACGTGGTTCACTTTCTCTTATTTTATTTTCAAAATAATTTCATGCTTGCCCTCTTTTTCTTCAAAAAATGATCCTCTTCAACTTTGCCGACACAAATGGGCCTGCTCATAGTAGACACAGTACAAAGTTGGGACAGTGGACCAAGTTGGGACATAACATGCACGCCTGTCTTTGTGCCCCAAAAAATACATGACCCGGCTTTCTGTATTGAACTGTGTTGAAGAAGAAGTCATGAATGTTAGGAGTTCAAACTTGGAGAGTAAAAAAGTCAGGATTAATAGAAGAGACGTGGCCAATGTTTGATTTGACGTGTTGGTCTGATCAAACCACTCTTAGAATCTGGGCTAGATACCTGACGACTGCTCAACTTTGGCGTGGTACATCCGCCGTTGAAAGAATTCATAGCCACAATAACATGCCTTGCAGGCCACCGGTACCTGCAGATGGGATGAGATTTAAAAACTGTGGCTCAAGCAAGTAAGATTTTACTTTGAAAACTAAAGAAGGAAGGCTAGAAAGAACCTCATACTTATAAAAGACTACCTTTTGTCAAAAAAGGAAGTATATCCACATGCACAGAGGAATGAAAGTAGGAAACTTATAGAATGTCTGCTAAGAGAGGTTGGGATTAAAGGTTTTTTCTGATTTAAATCTGTCATTAAACATTACCTAACCCTAAAAAACATGTCAATATTTGAAATTCTTCATTTTGAGAACAATTCAGTAAATGGACTTAAACTTGAAAGAGTTATCAGGTCATTTTTTTTCAGATTTACATGGTTTCAGCTTGGCTGAATTAGAGTCCAACTGAAATTGCGTAATTTGAAGCAAACACAGTATATTTTCCAGGAGAAAGTTTCATGTCAGTGGCAAAATCTGAAAAGTCTTATAAAGGGTATGAAAAAGTAGAGTAAAATGAGAACATTTGGAACAATGTTCTTGGCATATTTTACCTTAAGGTGTACTATTCAAAATTAAAATAAACATTGGAATTCTACACAAGTAAATGCAGAGCAGTACAAACTCAGAGCTGTGACCTATATACCCTGTTTACATAGGAGAAAAACACGGAAAAAGAAATAGGCCTGAGTGTTTGCAGACTGACCTAGGCCTAATAAGATTGTTATTTCTTAACTCAGTTATACTGACTCGGATTCCTTGAGGATACCATGAAGACTTTACATTCACTCACCCCATTTCCACATCACCCTTAGCCACTTCGCCCCTAACCACTTCACCCCATCCCCACTTCACCCCATTTCCACTTCGCCCCATCCACACTTTGCCCCATCCCCACTTCGCCCCATTCCCACTTCGTCCC